TAAAATAGCCGGTATATTGCCACAAAATTTTATAATACTTTACCAAATAGTTTAAAAGCATTAGAATATACAAAAAAAGTTATTAAAACCAAATTGACTAATTGGATTAAACCTATAAGTATCTGATAATCTTGTTCATACCTTGTTGAGTGTATAATATAAAAGAAAATATGCAAATTACAATATGTATATTAAAGATACAGGGAAATTGTAAGTTGATGGATTAAAAATATTATAATGTAAAAATCTGAAAGAATATTATGTGCGACGAGAGAAAAAAAAGTTTACATTTAAGTTTTAGTTTGTAAATTAATCCAGACCTATGTGCAGATTGCAAAGCTGCAAGTTCGTCAGGTATAATGTTTATATGTTACGAATTAACTATAACTATTATACATATGTAAATTATTTATCTTTCTGTGAAGCAAACTTAATTTAAAGTTATTATTATTATTAATAAAGACTATTAATATTAAATACTGTAAGTGTACAGTTGACGTTTTTTTCTGGTCTTTACACTGGCCTATCTCTTATAATACTGTTTGATTTGCTATTATCAAGTGCAATTAACTTGAATCATTTAAACAAATTATATATAAAATTCCTTAACCTTGTTTTTGTCAAGCTTCATGACTCATAATCTTCCATTTCATTGTAATACAGAAATGTTGATACCTTTATTTACCAATACAAAAACCTATCATACAATAACTTTTCTTTTGCTGTTCTAATATTATATCATATTCAGGTGATATAATTTTAGAAAAAGATCCCCTTTAAAAAATTATCCCTACCTCTGTGTCTACTCATCAATCTCAACAGAAACTTGCTTTAAGTAAATTTCATAATCTATACACTGTGTATGTCAACTCAAAGAAATAGCAATTATAATGCTGTGTAACAGTTTATGAAATTACAGTTTAGAATTTTTAGAGAGATATGATATCAAAATGGTGTAATCTCAAACAACTTTTAATTATAAAGCTAGCAAACATGCTTAGTACATTTTTTACAATTTATAAGATAAAGCGGATTTTCACAAACATGACAAATGAAAGGAAGCATTAGAAATTTAAAACATACCTAGAAAAGTAATACTCCAATTGCTGAGACAGCATTTGTTTAAGTTGAGGTAATGGTAGATTTGTTTGTGTTCCATTATCGGATGGTGCTGAAGGTTGAGTTGAACTCAGTCCTTCAGCTCCCTCTGCTACCCCGTTGAGAGTAACATACTGTGGTACACTATCAGTGGAGGCAGCAATTTCAGAGTTGGCTGTGTATACCGCCCCTGAAGGCAGTTTACCAACATCCCCATTCATGTACACGTATCCTGAAGACATAAAAGGTACTTTATAGTCACAGCTACAATCCATTTATACTTAAGTCAACACAACTGTTTTGACACTTGGCTAATTTGACATTTCAATCAAAAGATAAATTCTATTTGTAAAAATACTTTCAGGTACCAATTGAAATTAGTCCAAGTAGGATTCTAAACCAGCCGTTCTGAAAATCCAATACCACGTCTACCGTTTACGTTTCAAAGGGAATTTGGTAAGATAATATACAACCTAACCTTATTTTTAAAAAAGTGATGGGTGTAATATTTTCATCAAGGTCATATCCACTCTATATTACTAGGCTGACATATCGTTTAAATCGATTTGCACACGATTTTGTGCATTACAATTGGAATTCAGATCAAAAATAGGTTCAAAATCACTATGCCATTTCTGCATTCACAATCATGACGTAGAAAGACTATCAATCACAAAATCACTTCCCTGAAGTAGTTGACGTTTAAAAAATTAACAGATATTTCACCCTTCAACACCCCCTGAACAAAAAATGTGCGAAATTTAAATTTAAACCGGATACCCAAAAAACTTCAGGAATGTAACAGAACGAGACAAATATAGTAAAAGATCACAACAACGTTTCACTTATGGCCAATGATGTGCAGATATGACAGGTTGGTTTCAATTGATCGCCGATTAAACTGCTTTTGTAAAAGAAGCCGTATTTTTAAAAAAACTATTCAACAACATGTGCCTATCACACAACTCCCATAAAGCAAACTGTCTTTAACGGGTGGCACTAATCACTTAACTACCGAACGAATCGATATCGTTTTTGTTATTATTAAGCCGCACTACACTCACGTTACCTTCTATTTTTCCCTAAAATTTGTAGATATACTCGTTCGGAAAAAAATGCTTACCGCTTTTATTACTTTGCAAAACTAAAATAGATATCTCACTGAAACTTGCAAAATGGCTGTCGTCAGAAACATGCCATAGAAAACTGGTTTTCCATGAATAGGACAGAGATCGCACTAATGTTAATGGTGCTGCCGCCTTACAACGATCAGATATATTAAACTTTTAGAGGTCTTTTTCAAATATTCCGGTTTGAAAATGCCAGTCATGGAAAGGTCGTAGCCACTTTTATTAATTAAACATAGAACAACATTGTTTCAATAAATCTTAATTAAATTTTGAATAAGCGCAACAAACATGGACAAAAACACAAAGCAAAGAAAAAACAATAACAAAACAAACAAAACAAAAATATTGACTTACCATTATTAACAATAGTTGAAGAAAATGGACAACCAAGTTCTTGATGTCTCTGCGAATTATAGCGATCAGACCATCCAACATGTAAATCGCAGCTTATATCAGTATCTGACTTAGATTCAAACTCGTCTGCATTTGGGTTTAATAAACCCGATGCAGAAGTTACCTGAAATAAAAATGTTAATTTTCAGATTTCGTGCATTTTACAATGCGTTTTTAAACGAATGCCTTGAATGTCAAATCTCAAAAAAAATATTTTTGTCGAATGCACCCATAAAGTGAGTTTAAAAATCTACGTACGTAATAAATAAAAAATAAAATAGGCCGCTAATTGTAAAACAAGGAAGTCTAGCATAGCTGCTACATGAAGGTAGATATGTGGGTTTTAGGTACTTTTAATAGCTAACATTACTTTCGCTCTTGATCAGTCGTACATGGTGAGAGCACTCCACACAGTTTAAGATTGATGCATTCCAAACAAAATAGCTATTTTTGTCGTTTATAAGAGACATTTCACTTCATGTACTCGAAGTCAATAATTTTAAAAGATCAACTAACTATTAATCACATTTACTCATATTATAGGCGTAAATACCTAACCGCTTGACATTCCTAATATAGAGTCAAAAAATAATAGTTTATTGCGTGTTTTTGAATGTTCTGTATGCCTTTCTTGTGGAATATATGGTGTTTATAACTATTAAATAAAATTAAAAAAAAGTTGACTATAAGCATATATATCTATAGCTAGGTACTTTTTTACAATTTATACAGCTACATTATTTTTTTACTGTGAATTTTATTTTCTTTTTGATACGAGTTTTACACTCTTTAAATTTGAAAATAAAAAACCTTCACTATTGTAATTTTTGTACATACAAAATTACACTGCTAGATAGTTTTCTACTTTTCTGCAATAGCTTTCCAGGTAAAAGTGGCATTTCAAGTTAGTGTTCGCGACGTCCTTGAGGTTTGGATTAAAGATTCGATTGAATTAAAAGGACTTCTTTCTGAAATGAAACCCGCTTCGAAGTACAGACAAACACAACAGCTCTACTTATTTAATTAAATTACGTAAATTCATAAACTATAATACGTAGCTCGGAAACTCGGATACACTTCCGAAGACCAGCTGCAAGTCGCATAAAAATTTGTATATAGGGACGTTTTTTACTGGATTGAGCGCTACTCCGTGCATGAAAATCCCACAGGTGTCCGTAAGTTCTCGTATATGCCCATTGCATTTCGACATATAAACTAACAGGGTGAATATAAATACATAATATTTAGGGAGGGGGGGAAACAGTTACCCTAATCTAACCTATGCAAACTCCATTCGGTAAATTTGTGTTATTTTTTATTAATATGTATACACTTCATTTTATCAACAAAAACTAAGCGACATATCGATTTTTTCATAAGAGTAAAAAGTATTTGTTTTTACCCATTTTACAAGACACCTTCATTTTGCGACCTTGACGTACTCTTATTTAACTAAAACAAAAAAAAAGACACTGCACCGGTCAGCAACAGAACTCGGAACCTTCTTCGAGCCAGATAGCCACTCGGACCAGTAAACTACGTATACTCCCTTTAATAAAAGTTCACCCTGCTCTTACACATAATGTTTATCTGTCGAAATACAATCACTTAGGTGCTACAAGCAATTATAGGAATTTTTATATTTGGTACTCAACAGTTAGCACACTAAAAACCGCGCTACACAAATTTTCATAGGATTTAGAGCTAGTCCATACACGGAAGTAGCTCTAACAACATAACGAAATAAACATATGTTTGGCCGTTTGCGCAAGTAAATTTGCATTCGTATAGAAAATTGTCTTTGCAATCAAAACCATTTTTAAAATCTTTTTATTTTACTTATGCCCACCTTACTTTTATGGAAAGTAATCATGCCTCTTTCAACGAAAATCCAATCGTTTGAACAAGTAAGTGTTTCCATTGTTTAGATTCAATTGTTTTAGTATTATTCGCGCGAAAGAAACTTTGCTTTTACAACGATATTTCACATATTGCACTTTTATTATCACAGGTTGAAAAAAATACAGTACCTACGTGTACTTGCCGGATCACGATTGAAATATATGTATGTAACTAAAAGTAATTGTTGAATAATAACTGCTTTGGTAGATCGACTGTTTCAGTAGGGGAAAGGCATTATATTCTATGTTTTACTATTCATTAACAGGGCATACGTATACAAAAACAATAAACCGAACATATACCCGCGTTCTTATATGTGAGTAATAAGAGAGTACCTATTATATCTATATGAGTATACATGTATATGTATAAACGGCAACTACTTATTGAACTTTAAGCAAACCTGATTGTAACCAGGCGCCGCGATATACAAAAAAGTAAAAACGAAAACTGGATGAAATACCTATTGAACACATGCATACAAGTACGTACCTATTTATGCATGTATGTAATATATACTTACGATTGTTCTATACGTACGTCCTTGAGAAAAAAATATTCAGCGGAAAAATCGTACTGACATAAAAAACCGACAATAAAAACCAGTATTTTTTGTTTTACAATAAATACAAACAAATGCATTATTTGTATAGTTGTACATACATAACAAAAGGTAATTTTTAGCAAAAAAAATCCATGATCACCTGTATATGTGGAGCGATACTAACTCATACTTTATTTCCTTTATTTCAATTGTCGTATTGTCTATCTACAGTTAGTGACAAAATTCATGATTCAAATTTAGTGTCAGGTCTCAGATGCTACTTTAACTAATAGATTAGACTTTCTGTAGTTACATATATTTAAAAATTTATTATTTAATATTAACGGTGTTCTTTAAATCATCTATAATTTACTGTTTAAAAACAGTTTAAGAAATGAAAATTGCATCGCATAACTTCGAACACATCAATATAATTGCGAATCTACCACCCGCACATAAATATATAACCCCAACACGTGCTACTCAGTACGCAATTCTGACGAAAGGTATCGATCGAATTCAGAAAACAACAATGGTCGATTTTTAGCGTTGTTTTAAACAACCCATACATTTTAACATAGAAACCACATAATCGTGGGTACTTCCCATACGCAGATAGTGTTAGCAACATCCAGATAACAAACAAAAGTTATATGAGTAACTTCCATATGGAAGCAACATTTTAAAATAGAGCGCATATTCCCTAGATCATTTACAAAGGTGTTATAGTCCCTACCTTTTGTATAATGTAGCATCTGGGATTGAAAGCGGTACAAATATAGGTACCATTGGCGTCCAAACAGGCTGAAAGGGGGTCAGATGCAATGAGAGGCTGATGTGGGGTGGAAGCTGTTGTTGTTGTTTGATGGTGGGGTTTGCCTCGGCCTTTGCCTCGTACAGGGGTTGCGGTGACCTGGGGCATTTGTCGTTTCACCGAAATCTTAACAATAATTTGTTTCGAATTGTTTTTGTTGTCGTTCACTTGCACTCACCATGCCGACCTGTTGAATCCCGGCTGACGCTAAAGCCAGCTGATCGTCGAAAAGCGACGACGCGACGACCAGCGTCGGCCTACGCAACTGTGGGCGTCGCGCATTTAGTTATAATCGACGCCACCGACGACAACCAGAGTTCCAACGCGCTACTGAACTCGAAACGAAAATGGAGCAATCGTAAAAATAGTTATTGTCACAGGCACCACTGATCATGCGCAGGTGAATTACAAAAAGAAAATCGTTGTGATAATATTTTTTTTTTCGTTAACGGACATATTAAGACATTAAAAATTTCGAACAATTTTAGTAATAGAAGCATTTTTTATATATTTTTATCTGTACCTATGTGTATCATCTAATAAAACTGTTCAAGAAATGTAAATCGAATGCAAGTATAATTTGTCAAACGAAAGTTCCTTATCTTTATTAAGAAAATAACATTTCGTATATGTAACTTTATACATTTAAAATTGTATAAATCACATTATTGTATTTTCCTGTTTTTCATAAAACCCTTATCTAATGGTAGCTAATATGGTTCAAGTGCACCATTACCCGCAAGTAGTATTGGCCTAATATTATGTTTAAAGTTTAAAAATAATCGCTCGGAAAAAGTTCAAACTAATCTACACTAATACTATACTGGGATAAGCGCACGGAGCGGCTGTATCTCGACAGCTGTAAGTAAGGCTATAGATAATAAGTAAGGCCTACAACTTTGGGAAAAAATCTTTACAAGTAAAGGTGGCAAAAGAAATAGATGGTAATTATTAAGTTCCAATTTTAAAGGGCGTTACTTAATACAAGATACGTAAAATGCATCTCGAAAAGTTGGGCAGTGACCTATACGTTTTTGATACGGCTGCGTGGAGGGGGTAGATCGGGGTATATCGCGTGGAGAGAGGCGGCAGCGGCGGAGGGAGAGAGAGGCTGGCGCCGGCGGAGAGAGGCAACGGCTGTATTAGGTGGATATAAGGCGCAGCCGCGCGAAGAGCGGAGAGTCTGCTAGAGTCCCGGCGGCGTGTGCTGTGCTCAGCTGTTGTTTTCTTACCTCTGCTCTCCACGTGGCTGGGCATCATTGCCTCTATTTGCGGTCTATTTGAAAACCAAATTATAATTTGCGGTAAATCTGTGAAAACGAAATGTGTGCTGGGACACATACTAGAACTGAAACAAGTGGAAAAACGAATTGCAACAAAATTTTTAAGGGCAGATTTTTAAATAGGGCAACTAAATTAACAATCTGCCCGTAAAACTTGAAGTAAAAATTTTGTTGCGATTCGTTTTTCCACTTGTTCGTTTAAGTTTCACTTCTTCTATGTGTCCAGCTAGGATTGTCATCTCTAAAATTTGGAAACCAGGACAAGAAGCGTGAAAACCCCGGATTTTAGAGTCCAGAACCCGGACATGTCAACAGGTTTTTTTAAACATAGTCAGTGTAATAAAAAACAGTTATAAATGGCACAAATCACCTTTTTATTTATTTTCAGACCTTAAAATTAAATTTAGTCATTTTTTATTATCATTTTAAATGTACCTAACAAAACAGAATCTTTTTACAGTTTGTTGCAAATTGTTTTAATAATGCGTGTGTCGCGGGCGACTCAAGACTAAGACTTTAAATTTTTAAACCCGGACTACAAATGAAGCCCCCCCCAGACGCTCCCCGGATGCTCTCTAAACTAGGACAAATCCGGAGAAACCCGGACGGATGGCAACCCTAGTCCCAGTACACATTTCGTTTTCTTTGGACTGTTTAATTTTAACTAGTAGAGGGCGTCTCTTCAACAGTTACATATTTTCGTAATTTTTAGAAAAAATTAAATGCAGCAGTACTATTTCACAAACCCTTGGGCAGTACCAAAAGTACCTACATTTTAGTGAAAACCACATCGCGATATCTCTATCTATCTTCGATTTAAGCGAGAAAATATTTAAAATTTTAATAACGCAGTTGGATCAAGTTGTCTTAGGAAAAAACAAAACAACATTTGCAAATGTTACGGATTTGACAATGGTTACTGATGTAAATTAAGTTACGAATTCAAACGTCAATTTATTTTGAAGCGCGTTTAAAAGCCAAGAGGAACATCAGTATTAACAATAAAACATGAAAAACGCAAAAAAACTTAAAAATATACCTACAAAGAAGACCAGATTTTCTAGACGTCACGTTCTGGATCATTCTAGAAGATGGTCAGCAACTATAAATAGTTACCGCGAGATAAGGACAAACCGGCTGAAAGGACCTGAATTGATAGGTCCTACAACGGCCTGATGGAGAGGTTTTAGTCAGTAGGTCCGAGGATACCTTCGTTGCAAATCCGACAGTACCCAGTCGTACGGACGGCTGGGTATCTTTTGAAGATTTCCCTTCTTTCACGAAAAAAAGAATCAGGACAATTAATTCGTGATCGACTTACGAGGCGATATAAAGCGATGTAAAATATAAGGTGAATTAATAATAGTAATGTTAATTACAAAGAGCAAATTGTTAAATAAAGTTAGTAATAGTGAGGAAGGTGTTTGATTACGTGATAATATTTTCTTCGGTACGTGTTCTACAGTTGCATAAATGGGCTGTACATTGCCAGATTCTTGTAATCGTCTAGCTAATCTTGAAAATACTTCTCAAGAAAAATATGTCTTTTGTGGGAATTCCATCGCATATTGTTGCAGCATTTTTAAAACATTGAAAATAAATGCGCAACATATATGATTTTGTGTTAGTAAATGGAATTTTTTGCAAAGAGATTAAGAAATAAGAGCACAACGTTAGAATTTTCAATTATTTTGTTTTCCTTCGTAGGTATTTTTTATAACTTGATCCTACTGCGGTATTTTTACATTTTTTCGTTTAAATCGAGAACATACAGATATTGCGATTTTTTTTTCACTAAAATAAAGGTAACTTGGTTCTGCCCAAGTTACTGTTAAATGAATAGCATCGTTGCTTTTAATTATTTTTTTCAAAAATTACGAATAGGTAATATCTGCATAAACGTGTTCTCTAGTTTAACTATTTAGAATTAAATAGTTCAAAGAAAAACTTCATTGAATCAGTCGAAAGGTGAAAGGAGATATTAAAATGTAAGAATTGAGAAAAACCTCAACCTCTCTTCTTACTATAGTTACGGAAAATGTTAGAACACAAATAAATGCTCTCAACCAATTTTTTAAAATATACAGCTCACCTAACTTTCCGAGATAGCATGAAGTTTGTGTTCATTATTTGCATTTATGCCCTCTAACGGTGAAAATTCGAACTTAAAAATAATTTCCAGCCATTCCTTTCGCACCTTTACTTGTAACACGATATTAATGTTGAGAAAAGGCTAACATTAGGTCGGACGGTAAACTATCCACAAATTTCCTAGATATAACAAATAAAAAGTAAATGCACTTGTCTTGTCTTTCACTCCCGCGATGCTGGGAAAGCGAATATATGCCTCTCATTTATCAATAACAATACCGATCATATCATAAACAAAATGGGTTGTTCACAAAATGTATTAAAATAAAAAGATTAAAAAAACACCAACAACTCTACTAAGTGTTTTCGTAAAAGAACAAAATATCAGTATCCGCATCCATATCCCTATATCTAGAATTTCAATAATCCGCATTCACATCTACAAGTTTAGCCTCAATAAAGTTCGCGTCCTCATCCGGATCTGCGAAAGTACTTCCGTTACGACCCTTACTTTATGACAGAGATATAGTGTAAAAAAATTTTTATTATTTATCAGTATCAAACACACTTTTTATTCACAATTATGCATATACGGAAAAAATATAATTATTGAAAATACAGAATGTAATTTTCTATTAACAAACTGTGATTCCCGCTTTTCTAAATTTATATAAAACTTTCTTTATCCAATAAATTCATTAAATTCTTATAAAAAGTAGCTTACAATTAATTAATATATTTTTACGTTAGATAAAGAACTGTAGCGCATGCCGCATTCGTCAAATATGTTTAAAAGAATTCTATTATTCCTGATTTTCAGTTTTCTATAAAAATAACTACAAGCTACAAGAATTCCTTAACATATAATCAGATGGGACGTCCTCATTTTGACATTTTGAACAGTTAATTAAATATGATTTCAGTAAGAAGTAACAAAAGAGAATACTGTAAAATGTCAAATAACTGATGCCTTATTTATAACCTCCAGAACTCTAATTTTTATTCCAGTAAAAGGCCAGAAAAAAATCCATTACGAAGATGTTAATAAACTGACTTCTCATTTATGAGTTCATTAATAGCTCCAAATTTTGAGCTCTGAAAAATAATTTCTCTAAGATGTCATATTACGACCTCTGTAAGGTCCATAGAAAGGTGTTTTCTTTCAGACTTCATAAAGAAACCTTTCTGATTTGGATGCTATCTTGGCCGTGACGCAGCTTCTCATTTAAAGACTTTTCCGACTATCTGAACCACCCTGTGTTACAACCAAACTTGTATATGACAACGTACATTTAATAATTTGATTTGGTGAAGCTATAGTGGATAAGAATTAAGCAAATCAATAAAAGTAGAAAAATTCAATCAAAAAGGAGTGTTTAACCATTTTTTTAACCAACTCAGAAGCGACTAATTTTTTTATTATTTATTTTCTATATTGTTTTATTGCTACTTTTTAATAGCTTCGTTAAATCAAATTTTTGTGTAATTAATCATTTTTTTTAGCGTGTGATTTTTGAAGGGCTTGATTTTATTATTTTTTATTTAAAATTCAATTACTTTATCACTAATTCATACTTTCACACCCTAATTGAAATCTTGCATGCCCCCTTGATTATTTATACATTTTTCCTTACAACGCTATCTTTTTATCAGACACGTAATCCGATTTTGTACTTGTAAATGAATATGTAAAATTAATACAATATTCTCTATTTTAGGGCAGAAATTAGGTCTTGCTGATACTAGCCCTTTGTATTGGAACTTGTAATCTTATAAGAGTATGCATATGCTATATGTATAACAGACCAAAAATCGGATACATTTATATCATACAGCTTACGCGAGTCAATTTATTTTTTGTTTGTACTTTCGCTGAACATTTTAATTTAGGGAAAGTACGGATACATCAATTTCATAACATTATAATAAAAAGTGTTCAACTTAAATAAAACTTGAATAAATAGAGGTAAAACGATTTGATTCATATCCCGTTGTAAATTTTGGAAAGTTAATTGCTGCACGAAGCTCCGTTAGACTTGTATAGAGTTTTTATTTGCGAAAACAGTAACCCTCCATAAAAATAAAGGGTCGTCCATAAAATTCGTCACTGCGAATTTCATCTTTTTTATACCCTTCGTTACATTTTCGGTGAATCCCCTAACAACTATTACGTCACAAAAGGTAATCCACCTCCCCTATGAACGATTTCTTCTGATAATAGCAATGACAATGACTTTCTATAGTAATGAAAAATTATATGAACAGCCAAGTTAAGAAAAACATAAAAATTAATGAATTGTAAACGTTACACATCCTTAGACCCCTCACCCCCCTTTTCCAAATCTCGTCACGCTAAACAATACCCTCCCTTCCCCTTATTTACGAACGTATCTTATGAACAAACCGTAAGGGAGCTAATCCGCAAGTGGCGAAGAAGGGATAACCTCCGCAATCTTTGTAGAATTACATAGGTTAAAAGTTAAGAAATATACCCATAAAGTTTCAAATTATTTATTAGATTAGAATTGAGCCCTGTTACAACTAAATACGGTCAACATCATAACGAAAACTTTCAAAAACACTACAGAAACACGAAATTATGGAAAGGCACAATATAAAATGAGTTTACAATAAAATGCAGTCGTCATCACAGTTTACTAATAACTTGAACAACGACTGCACACTTAGAACTTTATTCTACAGCAACGTATTATTAACGTGGCGGTATTTATTATTATTATTATTATTACCACGTGTGTGCTATTTATTTTACCCAAAAATTTCAAATTACATAATAAAACAATTCGCAAAACACGCTTTACGTAATCATAGGTAATAATGGGATAACGGTAGTCAGTTTTTTATTTTAGCGAAGAAAATATGCAGCAATTTACTCCAACTTGCAGATTCTCATTCTTCTTCAAGTAACTAGTAGTGATAAAGATAGTTGCTGCATTATGAAGTTCTCCCTAAAAACGTCAAAGGCCCCCAAGTACATATTACCGGGGAACAAATTGCATTTTACTACGACTAATTAATTAAAAATTTTGACAATTATTATTACGTGTTTGCCTCAAAAATTAGTAACTAATTAAAGATAGCAATAATTACAGTTACAAATAATACAAATAACAGCAGCGTTTTAATTATAAATAGCAGGTTGTAATTGTAATACAATGATAAACGATCTGTTTTATTACACGAGACAAAACGCGGTTGTTCGAGAATACAGGGGGGCGTTAGAAACCATGGACCTTCAGCTGGTCCGGCTTGGCCAGGCCCGCCTTAGTTAGCCACTGGCAGATGTTCTCACGCTGGTCACCTTGCAACTGTAGCACTTCGCCGTACTCAGGATGCTCGATTACTGTTCCATTGCATGCAAACTCCTTAAAACAATTAAAAATTCAGACAAATAAATATTTATCAACAATTATAAAATAACAAAAACTATGTAAAGCGAAGATATAAATCTTGCATTCAAGTTTGCCTTTGTTAGCCCAGGTGTATCTGATTCCTCTCAACAAAAAAACTATGTATTTGAGGGAATTTATCAAAACATACTAATAACTGAATACATATTTTATTTATTTTGGGCATCTGTCTTTTTTGTCTTAATAGCATGGTTGAACTCGGACAACTCACAAAAATGCTAATAATTACATAATAATAAAATAGGGAATAATTTAAAATACCAAAATAATTATATGTAACCAAACCGAAGATCCTAACGAACCAACTTAATCCCACAAATTCTTTTATCTTAAATTAACTAAATTGTCTCTCTACATTTATTTTTGAATTAACAGCAATCCAAACGGTCAATAAATAAATATGAAGATTGGAAAAACTTGTTGTAGAACAAACAGAATAGCTCAAAACCCCAACTTCAGTCCCTGAAGAAGGTAACTTTGTTACCGAAAAGTGCTTTGGACAACTACAATGTCGTGTTTTGGCGTTGGGGTTTTGAGCTATTCTGTTTGGTCAATAAATAGTTGAGCACCTACTTTATACCAATCAAAATTAGATCTGACCATGAATTATATATGATTGCACTAAGATAGCGAATCTGTCTGCAAATTACAGATTTGTAGTCACCAACATACAACGATCCATGTTCATGAAAAATTAGATCGAGTGAACATACATCGCGTGTCGACGTGACTGCCGACTGACAGAGCTTTGCTAACGCTCGTACACAGACAAGCGGAACAGATACTGAACCAGAGAACCCCAAAAGAGAAAAAAATCGTTTATTTAATGGGTGACTTCAACAGAGAGTGAGAAAAATTAATGAAAACCATATTCTTGGGCATTTTGCAATTTAATGTAACTTGCACATAGTGAAACGTGTTTACAAGAAGAAACCAAATAAAAAATGCACTTGGATATAAATGAATGGTTTTATAAAAAACGAAATAGATTTTATGTTAACTAACAAACTAACATGGTTTGAAGTAAAACGTTCTAAATGCCTAAAAGAAAGAAGAGAATGAAAAAACATGTTGGCCAGCATGAAACATATCGCTGCGATACTCCTAGGAAACTTACAACTTGCAACTTGGAAAATTTCCTAATAAAATAAACGAACAGACAATTTATGGGAAATACAGCACTCCAAAATATTAAATACAAGTAACCAAACAAATAAAATTGGAATATACATAGAGGTGAAATTGAATTACAGGGAAGAAGTTTCATTAAGAAAGGAAACTATTAGTTTAGGATAGAAAAAAAACACTAGAAAAGCAGACCCCAATATCAGGACATAATACAAAAATGAAACAAAATCAGAAAAAACCATATACTATCTTGAAAACATTGGAGGGCTAACAAAAGCATTTGAAATGCAAGATCTTAGCTGTTGGATAGGCATAAAAATGAAAAAGAAACAAAACGTAAGAACATTTCCAGCATATCAACCAATGCTTACAAATAGTTTGGGTGTGAATGTTAACAGAAAAAAAAGCAATTGTTTCAAATTTTGTATACCTACTATGTAGAAGACTTGTAATGCAAATAACAACATATAGTTATAAAAATGATCATATGTTTGAAGAAAGATTAAAAGTCTATACCCTTTCAATTAAAACTTTGAACAACTTGTGATAGTAAAATAACAAATAGAAATGTCTATTCAATTGATTGTTAATTGCCAATAAAATAGTATCACTTTCAATAATAAACAGTAACTGATAGTAAATGACAGTAAAGCACTCTATTAACTTTACAGATTTTAAATATATGTCAAATTACTTGTACTTACATTAAGAACATAGAATTAATGAAATGATCCAGTTTATGTGCAAAATTTTGACCTAATTATGAAAAAAATGCTTTCTATGCATACTTATACATACCGTCTAATTTATTACCTTTTTATTACAAGAATGTATATTTTAAAATAGATACATTCAGTAAAATTTTATATTACATGCATTAAAATAACGGGTTAATTTTGTTCAAGAAATAAACCTGATATAAGAAACAGAATGCAAATTCTAATGTTAAGAAAATTATTTCTAATTTCTAAACTATTCCTGTTTGAAAAATGACAAAGTCATAAACATTTAACAACTAAACAGTACAAAATAACATTAACAGAACTATGGATATTATTTTACCTTTTTACATGCTCGAACAATTTTTTTCAGGTCATAGTCTGAAGAAAGGCCCTGCACAGTGGTTAATGTCTTACGACCATTTCGCTGTTGAATTCTTATATGAACAAGTCCGTCTTGTACATCGTCGTCCGCACCCTTATTTGCATCAGCAAAGGGGTCTTAAAAGGTTAAAATAAATTAAACCAGGTCGAGGTCATTTGCAACGTTAATACTTCCTAATTTACTAAGGTTATTTGAACAAACAAATTTTTCAAAATAAAGTGAAGGGAAAGTCAGCAATATCAAATACAAATAGTATTTTACAGAAAACGAATGACTTGCAATATACTAATAAAAATTGTACGCCATTTTGTGTTGAAATAATACTTGGGGAAAAAGGAACGGAAATAAACATACCAAATGTCTGGAGGTTCTGGATGGACATACGACACTGAAAATATATACTTATAAAAAAAATAACTGCAAACAGCTGAAGTGTGTCGTTACAAAGATGATAGCAGATAAGTTTGAAACTACCTCGTTATCTATTAAAAAATTTCTGCGACTGGCGCTAGTATTGCTACTGCTGGTTTAGTACCACAGCACCACCAACGGCAATAAACGGAAATTAACGCTTGCGCACTTTTTTTGGTTACAATACTAAAATTTATCAGGAGAGTAATTCAAAGAAAAATTAAACAAAAAGAACAATATTGTAACGAAAATGTCAAATTATCACGGAGTAACAAAATAAAATTGTAAGATAAGAAAAAGTGACGATCCAAAATAAAGCGAATGTCTATTAGTTTTCATTATTAAAAGTTGGCCATACGTTCCTTTTGTTTGTTTATCGCTTTCTAAACAAAAAGATCCAGCCGTGTCTGGAAAAACTAAAAAAAAAGCTTTTTTATAATATAATTCAAATATTATCATCAGTGCTCTCAATTCTAAGAATGTTAGGACATACACCTCCACTCTCCTATCCTTAGCTAATTTTCGCATTTCCTTAAAACTAAAGCATTCCACATTTGTAATGTTTTGTGAACAGTAATCTAATCTAGGTCTACCTGTCTCTCTTCACTCCTGTTACTAAAACTACTAATACTTCATTAACTAGCCCCTCATGTCTAATAATATATTCTACTAAGTTAAGAGTTTTTTGAAAGTAGACTTTTTAAATAGATTTTAATGAGAAAGATCTGCAAAACTGCATTTTTTTTTCTTTATTATGTAGGTAGGTTTCAAGTATATTTGACAATTAAGAAAGGAGAAAATCCTGACGGCTTTAACCACTTTGACAATATTTATGATCACTGATTGCGATCATAATTATTATGATCGCAATTAATTATAATCATTGATCATGACCCTATCCATCGACGTTTACTAATGGACATGCCCATAGATAATAGGACAAAGGACATGCCTTAGCGGTCAGAATTGTGGTACAACAGAAGAAAGAGATGGAATGAAGTTCCGGACAATACCCATCTCTCTCACAATAGTGCGTAAGCGTGTCATGAAAGAAATAGCATTAGTCCGAAACCATACGCTATCTCCCTCACTTTTTGAACCAAGAAATTATTTCAACGACATACGACTAAGGCACGTCCATTAATATATGTCCATGAACCTATCCACCTTATCTATGATCATGACTCATATTCCATATGTAAACATCTTCAATCTATGGTGAACAAAACACCATGTGAAATAAATTATGAATAATGATTATGAATAAATCAAAACTGACTGTAGTAAATTGATGGTAAATTGGCACCTAATCTACGATTGGCATATGAGTTTAATTTTTGATTCAATTCATTCAATCATTTCGATTGTTTACCCAGTTTATACACGGTTTATATTTATAGGTTATGTACACAAAACAAATAAATATATACAACCCAGGAAGACTGATAGGTACAATTATACAAAAAGTTTATTTTTACCAGATACCTATAAAATAAAATTTACTTTTTAGAAAATAATTTTAGTTAAGTGAGACATGCTAAATAATTTCATCGCTACAAGTACTTTATGATGTACTGTCCACAATGGTACAAAGCACATTATCTTATTAAAAATTTCAAATTTGCTATTCTTGGAATTACCTTATCGTATTCATGTTGCATTACCCAAAAGCGATATTCTTTTAATTTCCCAATGGAAACTAAAATAAAATCATTTGTATTTATGGACTGTGAAACAACAGGGCTACCGTTTGAAGAGAATAACCGTACCAAAATAACTGAATTAACTTTATGTGTTGTACAGTCTATTCACATCGAAATGGGCGTTTTCCCTAGGATTCAAGATAAGTTGCATTTATGTTTTAATCCCCAAAAATTAGTAAGTCCTGCAGCTTCAACTATTACCAAGCTTTCTAATGATCTATTAGAAAAACAACCTGCATTCACTACATCAACTGCAAATTTAATTAGAGAATTCATTGATTTGCATCCTAAACCAGTATGTTTAGTTGCTCATAATGGTAACAAATTTGATTACCCAATTTTAAAAGCAGAACTTCTGAAAGCTAAAATTAATCTTTCAGATGACATATTGTGTGTAGATTCTCTAGGTAACTACTAACTACTGTTTATTTTACCTTATGTGAATTTTATTTTTATCTTTACATTTAACTTTTAGAAGCTGTACAATTCTTTCATTCAGAAGATAACAAAAAAAAAACTGAACATATTCCATTTGAATTGCAGGATGGTTTTGATGAATTAATAGTAAATGTAGTTGAAGATTTAGAACAACATGAAACAAATCTAAAAAATATCGCTGTTAAAGAAGAGAAAACTTTTGTTACAAATTCAACTATATGTAACAATGAAACTCAAGCTAATTCATCAACTGCACAACAAATAAATGAAACTACTCCTAAATCTTCTATAATTCAGCAAAATGATAAAAAAGCTGCCTGTGGAGATAAACTTATTAGAAAACATGAAATTACTAATCCCAAAATAAGAAGGCGTCTTTTTAGTCCTGGGTAAGTCTAGTTTTATTTATTAATATTAAAAACCAGAAAAAAACTATTCTTAATAAAAACTAAATACAGAAAAAGTAAAAATCATTAGCCTCATATTAATAATCAATATAAATTCAAAGCAGTCAATTTTTTATACCTTCACTTACACATCAAGAATTATTTGCGACAAATAATTTTTCATTACTACTTAATTAGTTAATGTGTTAATTAAAAACATATGATTAGTCAATACTAATTTAAAAATAATTTTAAAATAGACTTCTGGGTACTCAATTGATGGTAAATTGTAAAATTCTTAATATGTAAACGAATATTACAGACAGTTTTAAATAAAATGGTCAGATCATTATCAATAAAAGAAAATCACTTTTGTGCTTAGAAGTTTTAATTTCACACAGTAGAAACGAGATAATCCAATACTTATAATCCTTAGTAACTCAAAGAGCGATGAAATTTTTTGTATTTTGCAATATATCAGAATTTTTACTCCCTCTAAATTCGAATTTTGGAGGTTCCGTTGTAGAAAATTGGATTGCATTTTCTGCGTGTGTAAATATAATGTACCTACCAATTAAATAAGAACATTTATAATTTAAAAAATTAAAATCATTGATGGATATTGGATTATTACTGGGATATTTCACATTTAAATATTATTATTAGAAAACTATTTTTTAGAGTAAGTTTTAAATTGGAAGATGTATTTCAAAGGATAACGGGACAACCTGTATCTAATTCTCATACTGCCGAATGTGATGTAGATTCACTTATCAGGATTGCAGCTACTTTTGGAGAAAGGTTTACATGTTGGGCTAATTTTAATTGTAGAAAATTTAGTGACATACCAGCTATGACACCAGGAAAAAGAATAGGCACCTGAGAAAGTATTTTTATTAGTCTTTTAATTGTTTAACAAATCAGTATCAAGGATTTGTACGCACTTATTTATGGTTTTTATAATATACCTACCACCATATAGGGTAATATTCCCAGAGATTTTTAAAAAACTGAAAGGCATTTTTGTTTTACATTTTCTGAATAAGTACCATGTATATA